AGTAACCAGTACCTGTGGATACTCTTTTTTCTCCCTTCCCCTTTTGGTAGCCATTTGGGTGTTTTTCAGGCTTTTCCTGTTGGGACCAATGCTGTGATGAACGTCTGTATATGTCTTTATATGCACACAAAACAGCATTTTTTTGTCCAGGTGCTAGTATTGGAATGACTGGGAAAATGCACTTCAAAGTTTGATCGATTCTATCAACTTGCCCTCCAGACAGGCTTTACTGACTCATTCTCCTGCTAGTTTGAGGAGCTCTTTACTTTTGCTGTTGGACACTATCAGTTTTACTAATTTTCCTCTAATAATCACTTGCTATTTCAATGTGCCTAGTGTTCTTTCTGCCTCTCCACAAGTCTTCCTATGAGAACCCATGTCCCCCCTGTGGGCTTCTCTGGGGTCAGTTCCCTGTGACAGACTGGCCATGAGGGCTAAGTCCTGGTAGCCACCTCAGGCTGTGCCCTTGGCTTTCTCTCTCCCAGGCTGAACCTCCGGGAGCTGGGCCCCTGGGCCTCACACATGCGTTGGCTGGTCTGGATCATGGCCTGTGTTGGCACCATCTATGTCTTCTTCTTCCACGAGCGGTAAGCCAGGCCAGGGGGGGGTCTCAGGTGGGCAGGGTTCCCCTTGGTGCTCCGGCAGGGCCGCCTCTACGACCCTGAGCAGGTGAGATCCCAGGATGACCCCACAAGCATGATGGCATGGCTCAGGCTGGTGCTCTGGCCCAGGGATGGCCACCAGGCCCCACAGCCCAGGAGTCAACCTGAAGAGTTTCTCATAAAGACATCATAGGTCTCTGAGGCCATTGAGCTAGGTCTCATGTCACCTGCCTTCCCTTAACTGTGTTAGCAGATGGTGGGGAAAGGCTCTGAGAGAGCCACACACCCTGTACCCCCATCTTTCTAAGTGGCAGGGATAGAAATAATTAGGTAGGGAAAAAAAAAGGACCCTACGTAGAGGTAAATGGGAATAACAGACTGCTGCAGCCTCAAGTCCCTGGGGTCTCTGGAGGTCATTTAATCCAGGGACAGCAAATATGTTTCAGGTGATGCATCATCTCAGCTTGATTGAGAGTGGCTGCTTGGGCTGTCTGGGAAAAGATGCTGAGATCGAGCCTGCCACAGGCTGAGAATCAGGAGCCCCCATGTGAGTGCTATGCCCAATATTTTCAACTCCTCTTCTAGCTCCAGAGCGCCATTTTATAGATGTAGAAATTGAGTTGTGTGCCATTTTACAGATGTGGAAACTGAGTCTCAGAGAAGGGAAGGGCCCAAGTCTCACAATTGCCAGCAGCTGTTGGATGTGGCTGGGTAAAATATGAGCCAAAGCATGTTGGACAGAGAAAGAGGCTTCTCACTGTTCCGGTTAGGCTGTCCCCTCTTCCCCAGTACAGGGAGCTGTACGCTGTTTCCTCACGGGAGGCATGTCCTGAGGCTGAGGTGGCTTGTCTTCCTGCCAGGTACAAACTTGTGGAGCTGCTCTGCTATGTGGTGATGGGTTTCTTCCCTGCCCTGGTCATCCTTTCAATGGTAAGTCCTGCCTACCCAGTGTGGATGGGGTCCTAGGTGGGGTCTCACATTTGGCTAGAGGGGACCAAAGGTGTCTGAGCTGGGCCTGACTCGTGAGATTGTCAAATCAAGCCCTTTCCTTTGGCAGATGGGGAAACTGAGGCCCAGCATGACTTGCCTAAAGAGGCAGTAGAACATACAGGTTAGTCCTTGGCCCTGCCTAGCAGATTCTCCACCACTAACTCTGCCTAAAGTTGGGTGAATTCACTGACCTCTCTGTGCTTCATGCCTCCTGTCTGTTTAAGATTTAAATGAGAAAATCCATATACAGCATTTGGAACAGAGTGAGGAGGTACCCAATCACTAAATTAAATCTATAATAATGACATAATTGGCAATGGAGGCCAAATTTCAGTCTCAGGCCTACTGATCTCTCCCTCCTGTGTTGTGTCCTGCACCGCTTCTGGACACACATGGAACCCAGGCAAAGAAGGAGCAGTCAAGTCCCTTTCTTTAGCACACGCTAATCCCCTCCACCAGGTCTCACTTCCTTGTCCCAGGTGTCATTGGGCTGTTTTGCAAATGAGGGCACCCAGGTTCTGATAGGGGACATGACCAGTTGAGGCCATGCAGCCCCTAAGTCACTGAGCTGGGATTTGGCTGGATATCCTCTAGCTGTGAGTGTTATTGGTATCTTTGTCCTGCACTGCGTAACCTTCTGAGGGTAGGGCCCTGTGAGGAGAGGACTGGGGGCCCTGGCCAGGGAAGGGAAGCAGGTGCAGTGGCCTGGGTGGGTTGCCTCTCTCTAAGCCTCAGTTGCTCCATCTGTCAAACGGGCACAGTCTCAGCCTGCTCACTTCCCTAGGCCAGATGACACAGCCTTATTTTTAAGTTATAATTATTGGCAAATGTTTTAAGGTTTTATGTAGTCAAATCTAACAGGTCTTGCAAAAATTGTATGGCTGTTACCTTCGATTTTACGGTTAGGAAGATCTTTCCTCCCCTAAGTACAAGGAGAGGTACTTAGGTATTTTCTCCAGTTTCCTTTATGGTTTACTTTTTATTTCTGTGTTCTGTCATTTCTTTTGTACATGGTGATCGTCCCAAAATTATTAGTCAATTGTTTCATTTATTTATCACTTTAAAAAGCTGCTTTCATCATAAGTTAAATTCATATGTGTGTGTTTGTGTGTGCGTGCGTGTGTGCGTGTGTACGTGTGTGTGGGTCTACTTCTGAGGTTTCAGTTCTCATCTATTGGTCTATCTGTTTTTTGTTTTTTTTTTGAGACAGAGCCTCAAGCTATCCCCTTGGGTAGAGTGCTATGGCATCACAGCTCACAGCAACCTCCAACTCCTGGGCTCAAGCAAGTCTCCTGCCTCCGCCTCCCAAGTAGCTGGGACCACAGGCGCCCGCCACAACGCCTGGCTATTTTTTGGTTGCAGCCATCATTGTTGTTTGGTGGGCCTGGGCTGGATTTGAACCCGTCACCTTAGGTGTATGTGGCTGGCGCCTTAGCCGCTTGAGCCACAGGCGCTGAGCAGGTCTGTCTGTTTTTATATGAGAACCACACTGTCTTAGTGTAGTAGATTTAATTGTTTTTAATACTTGGCAGAGAAGTTGTGCCCCATTATTTTTCCTATTGAACACTTTCCCTATGATTTGTATTTATTTTTCCAGATTACCTTTTTCTTCCCTCAAATTTATTTTTATCTAAATATATAAGTGACATCTATTATAGAATAATCACCAATTATCTATTTAAATACATACATACACTTATCTATAGTAAATGTATTTTTAATTATATATTCACTGCAAAAAAATAAGTCCCATGTGTAAATGTTGCCCTTCCTCCTCCCCAAGGAATCCTAGCTGCGGTCAGTGCTAATGAGTTGTGTATCTTTTCCATCTTTAAAATTCACATGCAAGTATATGTGGATATGCAGATGTACTGACTTGTTTGTTTTTCTTTTACAAAAGTGCGATCACTTTCTATGGCTGTTCTCTGTAGCACTGCCATGGGCATTTTTCCATGACTGCCAGACAGTGTGACACCTACCTCATGGGATTGTTGTGCAAAGGACATTAGGTAACTCAAGTAGGGGATGTATGACAGGGCCTGGCACAGAGTAAGTGCTAAGATATACTGGGCTTTATTAGTATTATTGCATAATTAATATTCAGTGATAGACCAGGTGGCTCATCTCTATAATCCCAGCACTTTGGGAGGCTGAGGCAGGAGGATCTCTTGAGTCTAAGAGTTCAAGTTTATAGTGAGCTGTGATCGTGCCACTGCACTCCAGCCTAGGTGACAGTGAGACCCTATTTCAAACAAAAATTCAATAATAATCCTCTTGAAGACTGAGTGAATCTCAGTAACTGTATGTGTGTACAATGAAATGCTATGGAGAGGGTCAGAGGACTTGAGAGGATTTGTGTGTGGACATGGAGACCAATGATCTCCAGGAGACTTTATTCAGTGAAACTCAAGTGGTAGAATGATAGGGATGGTATGAGCCCATTTATCTAAAAGTTCCTGTGCATATACGAGAAAATATCCAGCCATATACTATGAAAAATAAAGACGTGCAAGGCCTGGATGCTTTCCGGACAGCCTCCGTATATTATACATACATCTACACATATATGTATACGCAACTATTTAAATTGCACATGAACTTTATGGCCACCCTATATATATGGTACGCTTATAATATATTGTCATCATATAGGAAATTTCTGGGAGGATACCATAAAATACAGTTAATAGTAGTTACCTATAGCAAGTGGACCCGGGGGATTAGAGTCAGGGCTTGGCAGGTTCTTACTGTTCAATCCCTTCCTATTCTACAGGATTCTTCTTCTTTTTTTTTTTTTTTTTTTTTTTTTTGTAGTTTTTGGCAGGGGCCAGGTTTGAACCACCTCTGGTATATGGGGCCAGCGCCCTACTCCTTGAGCCACAGGTGTCGCCCACCTATGGGATTCATGTTACCACAAACAATTCGTGCTAATGGTGCTCACCTCTAGGGACTAGAACGACTACTTTTTGTTGTTTTGTTTTCTCTACATTTGTTTTTTTGCCATGGACCTATAGTACTTTTTTTTACTGTGGACAAATACACATACATAGTAACACTTCACATCTTTAAGTGCACACTCAGCGGCATGAAGCCCATTCACACTGTCATGCAGCCATCACCACCAGGCAGCTCCAGAACTTTCTTCACTTTCCCAAATTGAAACTCCAGGCGTGTTAAACACTAACTCAATTGCCCCGTCTTCCCAGCCCCTGGCACCCACTGTTCTACTTTCTGTCTCTAGTAACTTGACCATTCCAGGATCTCGTATGAGTGGGATCATACAGTGTCTGTCTTTTTGTGCCAGGCCTATTTCTCTTTTCATTTGCTGGTGGGTGTTTGAGTGGCTTTTGTCTGCTGTGAACATGGGTGTGACATATCTGAGAGCCTGCTTTCAGTTCTTTGGGTACCTAGCCAAATGTGTTACTGTTTAGAAAAGATAATAAACTAGAAAAATATTCTGTGGGATTTTGTTAGAAATGACAATTTCTGTCACCTGAGAACTAATTTGGGGAGAACTATTGATATCACATGTGAGCCCCCCTGCTCTGGGAATCTGGGCTAGCTCATCTCTGTGTATCTTTTCGTTTGGGGGAGTGGGAGAACGACTGGTTGCTCTCCTGACCTGTGCCTACCTTGTCCTTGTCGACAGCCCAACACTGAGGGGATCTGGGAGCTGATGACCGGAGGGGTCTTCTACTGCTTGGGCATGGTGTTCTTCAAGAGTGACGGCAGGATCCCCTTTGCTCACGCCATCTGGCATCTCTTTGTGGCTTTTGGTGCTGGTACCCACTACTATGCCATCTGGAAGTACCTCTATCTACCCAGCACCCTGCAGACCAAGGTGTCCAAATGAAGTCGCCCAGTTGTGATGGGTCATTTGGACTTTTGGAGCAGAGCATCAAGGGAAGTGTTTCTCGAACTTTACCCCAACGCATGGTGCTGAGGACTGTCTGCCTTTTCATTGGTAGAGTTTTTGATGGGTCTGAAGTTACTTCTGGTGACAGAAGGACTATCCCTTGAATCCCCAGGGAGAAAGAAAGCATTTAGTCATTTTTACAGAGGAGAGATTAACCCTGTAATGTGTTTCCAATTTTAGAGAAGTGTTTCCTAATACAACCGACATTAACATCTTCAGGAAGGAAGCAGACGTTGTCCTGGCAAACTGGGGAATGACAGGCCAATAAGTGCTTCTTAAGGTCCTGAGGAATCAGGCAAGTAGTCTGGTGGCTTGTTGGTACCCAGCTAGCCAGAGCCCCCGTCTTTGCTACCAAAGTCCTGGCTGGGAATTGCCCCCTATTCAGGGAAAGTCACCCAGTGTGTAGATGGGTGTGACGAGTCGTCCAGATGATGGACCCACTGACTGCAGCTGTGTTCAGTGGCATCAGGCCTCTCTTCAGCACAGCGTTCTGGGCAGCCACAACCTGTGGATTTGGCTCTTGTGATGCAACCTCTTTGCCTCTCCTGCCCCATGTGCTCTGAAATGGGATGGTGACCAGAGCAGTTAAAAGTCTCCATATGGGAGAGCAAGCCCCTTATCTCCCTCTATGATTTCCCTTTTGGGGAAGTTCCTGGTCTGGGCAATTTGGAGGCAGTGGAGGGGGGCTGAGGCTCACACTTGGGCAACTCCCGGCCAACATTCTGACCCACCAGAGCTGATCTTAATTCAGAGGAGAAGTGAGTAGCTGTTACTTGGTCATTTCTTCTCATCCCCCTAAATTCAGAGAAATTATGAGAGCTGCTCATTCTGAAGAGGGGCCAGGCAGATCCCTGTGATGCCAACATCTGGATTCTCTCAGTGCCAGTCAATGGCCCTTAGGGGCCTCTCAGATGCGCCTGAGGGAAGACACATGGATCCAGGCAGAGTGCCTGGGACACCCTTAACCTCTGAAGTGCCTAGTGGTCCAGCAGCGAGGCTTCCACACAGCCCTCTTCAGGGCTGGGCTGGCCTCTCTGTAAAATGCTCCCTGAATATTAACTGGGGAGGCAAGTGGCAGGCTTAGCTCCAGGCTCTGAACTGAAATCTCAGAATCTTGGGACCAAGAGTCTGTCTCACATCAGGAGGTCCTTACTCTAGGACTCACAGCTAGAGTGCATGGGTGGGTGGAGGTGTGAACACAGGATGCCTTATGATTAGCTCTAGCACATTCCAGGGAATTCCAGGGCTTCATCATCTGAAATCCATGTGTCCAAGTCAGTATTAAATCATCTTGACCACATTCCTTAATCAGATGGCTTGTGAGCTGAGAAATGTTACAGGGATAGGTTTTGTCTTTTGCCAGCGTGTATGCATGTGTGTACATGCATGTACATATGTGCATATATGTACGTGTGTGTCTGCCCAGGCATCCCTGCCCCCTGGAGACTGTTTTTGCTAGGTCTGCCCTGTGGGGCTCACCAGGTATTTCTTGCCAGCTAGGGGCAGGGCTGGAGGTCAGAGGGGAAGAGAATTTTGCAGGGGAAAAGCTCACGCCTGACTGTGGGCAGGGACCTCTAGCAGGGCCTGAAGCTGGGGAAAGGGGCCATGAGGTGTCTGGGGGAACTTCCCAAAGCATGGCACCATGCCAAACTGAAATAAAGATCCTGGTATCAAGATGCCAATGGGGGCCAGTAACTCGGGGCTTCTTTGGTGGTTCTGTATCCCCTGCTGAGCATCTCAGTCTGCCTCCTGTCTCTGCTCCTGGTCATTTGGTCTTACATTTCCCATACAGCCTGCCCTTTCATGCCCTTGCACCTTCTAAGGTATGGGTCCCACTGATGAGAATTCTGTTTACTCTTCATCCATTCCATACACTCCTACTCATCCAGGCATCAGCATCCGGAAACTTCTGGCCTTCGTCTGATCTTGGGGCTCCCCTCTGCTCCCCATCATGCCCTGTGCTCACCAGCACCACAGCTCAGAGCCCTGTCCTTTCTCACGGAGGTGCTGGAGCCTGCCTCAACCCAGGAGCTCTTGAAGGGAGGGACTATGTCTTGCTAGACACAAACTGGCATACTCCATTTGTGAGAGCTTGTGGAGCCAGTTCCCTAACATCTCTGAGCCTCAGTGTTCTCAGCTGTGAGATGAGCATAGCAAGGCAGCACTTTGCAGGGTTGCTTGAAGATGCAGCAGGATAATAGATGCACAACACCTAGTCAGTTTTGTTAGCAGTCCACTCGGAAGGCAGATGATAAAGATGACACATTTTCCACGGGTGTTAGCCAAAGGAATGAATCATTAATTGTGGAATTTCCAGCTGTGGACCAGTTGGTGAGGACACTGGAGGACATTCTGAAGGGTCTTGGCCACACTTCCTCCCTTAGCTCTAATTCAGGACATGCATCCCATATACGCTTTCTCTTCCTCAGCAACATTCTGGAAGTTTCCCAGGATTCCATTTCACCCAAGCCTAGACCTTGAATCTCCTCCAAATGGATCACAAATAGTTCCCTGTGCTGTCCATCTGGTAGTAAGTCTCTGTCTGGGGAGTGTTCTAGGCCATGTGCTGGATGTGTGAAGTAGAGAGGGCATGCACTGGAATTTTAAGTGCTGGCACTTCCTTCCTGCCCATCCCTGCATCTCAGGGGACACAGCAGAGCTGTTGCCATGTCTTAAGTTGCTGGGAGAGCCATGGGCAGCAGACCAGCCTTTCTGACATTCTGGGCTCTTCTGCGACTGCTCCTGAGCTCAGTAGGCCCTGCCAGGGCTGGGTTAGCAAAGGCAGGAGGAGGTGGGGGTGGGTCCTACTCAGTGGACTCACTCTTGGGAAGATAGTTGCATGGGCAGCCCCCAGCAATGTGCCGTCCACTCCTTGCTTGGGAGGACTTCCCTGTAAGGTCCAGAGTGGAGCCTGGCTAGGGCTGTCCTGGGGGCTGCTGCCTCTTCGGGGAAGGATTTGCGTCCCTATCACAGGCCAGAGCTGCCTTTTCCACTGGCCTGGAAGCTGGAGGTGTGGTGTGAGCAGGCAGAGCCTTCTCCTGTCCTTTAGCACCCGGCCCAGCTGGGGGAGAATTCTAGAAAAACACTTTGGGGTGGGAGGGATGTAGAGATGAGGATGGCAAATGAGCCTAAAGATCTAAAGCCACCTGGGTCATGGGTGGGGGTTTTAGGGGGTGGTTTAGGCATCCCTGAAAGCTGGCAGTGCACTGTTGCAGTTTGGGGCTTTCTGTACCAGTCTGCAACAGATGTAGTGCCTTCTTGTCCAGTGCTGTCTGAGGCCCTGCTGTTGGCCTCAGGAAATGGGGTAGGGACAGCTCAGCTGTGCAGGATGCCCACGCTGGCTTCATGCACCACAGGAGCTAAGAGGGAGCACATAGAGCTCAGAGGGCTTGGAGAGGGGCACCTGTCAAATCTGAAATGCAGGCTCTGGAAACAGCATGGTGGGATCTGGAAAGAGCCAAGAGAAACCCAGTAGTCACTTCTGGTGAATGTGCTGATGTCACAGGGCAGTATTGGGCAGGTGCAAAGGGAGGGAGCAGAAAGCTGGGGAGGCAGTGGCTGAACTCTGGTCTCTCAGAGAAAGCAGAAGCCAGAGCACAGAGAGGCTTGGTGACTTTCCCAAGGGCACCTGGCCTCCACCTGGCGGAGCAAGGTTTAGAAGCCAGGAATATCTAATGTCCAAGCATCTTCCCTTTGACCAGACCTTGCTGCTTCTGAGCAAACACACTCCCCCAAGGAAGAAAGCTAAGCTTAAAAAAAAAAATTAATAATAATTGTTCAAAATCTCTGGTATGTAGCTTAGTCAATTCCCATGGTTTGCATACTCCCACTGTGGCCTATTTGGGGATACCAAGTGGCATTGCTGGACTATGAGCCAGGTCCAGCTTCCCACTGCCCACTGCTGCCCACTGTGCTCCTCACATAGCCCAGCCAGGAAGGCCAGGGGTTTGAAGTCAGCGAGAACAGCCCAGCCCGGAAGGATCCTTGTGCAGGGTGGGTCTATCGCTGAGAAGCTTGGGAGTCTGAATTTTGGAGCCTGTCAGATGACCGAAACCCAGTTCTGCATGGACCAGAATGCAAGACCCTTGGGCAAGACCTTCAGTTCAGTGCCTCAGTTTCCTAACACTTCCAAATTTATAAAATGGAGATTGCAATAAGCAAATGCTACATATCAGAATGTTTTTTTTTTTTTTTAGTTTTATAAAAAAGATCTCTTTTGGGTAGAACCTGTAGCTCAGTTGGTAGGAGTCCAGCAGGTTTGGTGTACAGGACTGGAGAACTAGAGCTGCATGGACCTTGAATCTGAGCTGGAAGGGGAGGGACAGTAGGTTTGAGACCAGCATGGGCATGAGAGCAGGCATGTGGAGCTGGGGGAGCTGGGGCTGTGTCTGGGCCTCGGTCTGCCAGTGCCCAGTCCAGTGTTCTTTCCCACATTCTGCTCTTTCTTGACTTTCTGGGCCCTACTGCCCTCATCCTGTGTGTAAGACAGTGGCCAACTCTGCCTGCTGCAGTGACCAGATGTGTAGCCTGGTGCCTCCTCCTGCAGCCTGGTGCCTCCTCCTGCAGCCTGGTGCCCCATCCTGCAGCTTGGTATCTCCTCCTGCAACCCGGTGCCTCCTCCTACAGCCCGGTGCCTCCTCCTGCAACCCGGTACCTCCTCCTACAGCCCGGTGCCTCCTCCTGCAACCCGGTACCTCCTCCTACAGCCCGGTACCTCCTCCAGCAGCCCGGCTGCATGAGGCACAGCTCCTCAAAGAGCCCATTTGTACATCTTCCTGGTCAGGGAGGGAGGAACTCCAACCCTCCCTGGTGTCCCATATGTGGGTACAATATCCTTGCACCTAGGGCCACCTGTGTGTGTAGCCCTTTTGTTCCAGTTTCCATATGTCCAAGAAGCAGGAGGTTTTGGGGCATCTTGGAAAAGGCTGGTGGTAGGAACCAGTGGGCTCTGCTTCCCACTTGCTGAGTGACTTAGGGCAGATTACTTCTCCTCTCTGGGCTTTCATCTGATCAACTGTAAAATGAGCTGGCAGTCCTACTTAGCTGATGATAAGCTGCCAGTCTGCCAGCCGTGCATGCCAAGAATAAGCACAAAGCCCCTGGGCAGGCATGGCAGACCCCTCCCCAGCTTAAGGAGAAGTTTCTAGGGAGATCAGGGGGTTGTGGGCTCTACTTCTCCCAGGCGGAGACCCTCCTACATGTATGGACACCTCTAATCAATTCAACACAGAGAAAACAAAGAACCGCACGTAGCAGAGAACCCAGGGCATCTGAAGGTGTTCTGTCTGTCTAATACAGCAGCTGTTAGCTGCAGGTGGCTGCTTAACACAAAGTCAATTAAAATCAAATGGAAATCCTCCCACTAGCCCCATTTTAAGTGCTCAATACCCACGTGTGGCTGTGGCTACCAGCC